GGCGGTTGGCACTTATGTAGACACGGCCGGCACTAATCTCCTTCAGGGACCGAAGGCCCAGAGACGTGATGTTCAAGTTCTTCATGATCAACAAGGAGAAGCCCCGGCTGCGGATCAGGAGACAGTGAGAGGGAACCCACATGGGGAAACTGAGCTCTCAGTGCATCCATTCTTACCCATCACGGGCACGCTGGGCTATGCAGGCTCACAGCGAGGGAATCCCCCTCCATCTGCATTTTCCCACTCAGCCTCTGAGACCCAGGACCTGCTGTAGGATAGGAATGACACCCCCCACCACCCTGGGGGGGTTCCAACCCACAGACTTTGAATTGTGCAAGAAGCAAGCACCCTCATCTTGCTCCCGAGGAGGGGCAGGTGGGTTGGAACTGCCAACCTTATGGCTAGCAGCCCAAGGCCTAACCCACTGTGCCACTCAGGTTCCTTCAGCATCAACCAGCACCTTGGGTTCCCCTCGAAGATGCCTAAGCAGCGGGGTGCATTGCACTGCACAGTAACGCAGCCCCTCCACAGCCCGGACTCACTTATAGAGGCTTCTGCCCTCGATGGTCGTGAGGTTGGAAAAGACACTGAGGTTGTGCATATGGGAAGGCCAGGACTGGATGTTGAGGTAACCTGAGGAGTTGGAAGCGATGTATAAGCAGGGAGCCTTGCCCTCCCTCCTCTTCCTCAGAGTCTCTCTCTTGGTCCCTCCGAGTTGCCTGGGGCATGATTTTCTCAAGCAATCAAGCTTCAATCCCTGCCGATGGACCGCTCTTTCTTTCTTTTTTTTTTTTTTATACATCATTTTATTGGGGACTCTTACAACTCATCACAATCCATACATATATCCATTGTGTCAATCACATTTGTACATATGCTGCCATCATCATGTTCAAAGCATTTTTTTTTTTATGATCTGTTTCCACTTTATTTCCTTTTCCTTCTTTTCAGTGGAGTCTGCTTTCTTCCCTTGAGGTTCCCTGATGACTGACTATCTTCATTCTTTTTCTTTTTTTTTTTTCTTTCTCTTTTTTAACATTGTATTAGGGGCTCATACAACTGTTATCCCACTCCATACACACATCAATTGTGTAAAGCGCATTTGTACATCGTTTCTCAAAACATTTTCTCTCCATTTAAACCCCCGACATTAGGTCCTCATTTT